TGCCACCTAGTCTAGCGAATAATTGCTTATACAGTTTTACGTTTTCGTTTTTTTTCGAGTTCATTGTCGAATCATCATAAAAAAACCGGCATTAATATAGCATGTTTCGAATAAGAGATTCATCATACACCGCTCAACTATAGCACCTCGGCACTGATAGACATATTATGTGTAACATATAACGTGTAACTTTCCAAATGTTATTATTTTAATCTTTATTGAAATGTGATTTCTTTAAAAATTTATTTTTTATGTAAGTTGCAGCTTAAAAATAAAAATATAGAAAAAGTAACGATCGTAAGTCCAAACAAATCCTATTTCCCACCATAAAAATATATTTAATGCAGAAGACGCTAGAATGGGGTTTCCTCTACCTAAAAAGCTTCTGAAAATTACGCCTTACCTGCCTTTGCTTGCGAGAAAACGAAAATCTAGCAAATAAAAACAAATATTCTAAACTTATCTATTTACCAGTCGTCATAAAAATCATTTATTGTAACTTTCTTTTGCGCTGGTGCATATGATAGTGTGTATATAATGACCCACTCACACAACTTTCTATGCTCAGTAAGAGACCACCCTGCGAATGCCCTGCAAATAATGCGACTACTCCTCGACCACTCGTGTAAAATGTGGACCATAACAGACCGGGACTAGACCAAAACTAACCCAAATGCATTGATAAAACCTAACCGATTTAACAGTACCATGTCCTAAGGGCGGACAGTGTACTTGAATGAAGGGACCAACAAAATGCTCGATGTCTCGTTATGTCGGTCAGACTCAAACCCATCGTCATAACATGTAATGGCCAATAAAAGGGGATGTTGAATAGTGTGTCATAGAAAAATGTTCTACCACAAAAATTACAACAATAATGAAACAATTACCAACGAAAAAGACACACACGTAATGAAGGCAAAGCGCAATCGCTACCTGTTTTCCGATATGTGAAAAAATACATTATTTGTTATAAAGTATTTCATGTTCAATAATAACATATTTCAGGTACTTATAATTGGTCCACACAAAATGTTCACATTTTGGTTATTGACGAAACAATCCAAAATGTCAATCCTTATTAAAAAAAACTGATAAATTTTCTTAATATCTCTGCCCTCAACTGCGTCATAAAGAATATTTTTTAATTATTGATTTCGTACTCACTTTTATATGTATTTTACTTCAAAATTACAGCACACACAAAAAGATATTCTCATCGTCGAAAGTAACACACACACACGCACTCTCAATTTAAGCACACGTACACAAATGACACACAATTTGACGATGACATGGTTCGATGTTATCGTCGACACCCTGCATTTATGGAGAACACCATGCAAATATTCGAGTCAGCCATGCCACGATCGAACCTTAGACAATGGCACACACGATTCAAAATGGGGGATGTTGTTCGTTGTCATTGTCTATCAAATACATAGCACATGATTGAATAGACAAAGTCAGTGTGTCAAAAAAAGCATAATTCATACAATTCGTCTTGTGCAGGCCTTTACTGTCCACCTCATGATTGAGGGCAAAATGACTTCGGAATGGTCAAAGACAATTACTCTTTTATACCCATTACCGTAAGATGGAAATTAATTTTGTTGTCATTTGAATTGTCCATATTTTTCATCATATTATAATTCAATGACAGTTAAACAAATGTTCGGCCTCGTGCTACTTTCCAATATTCGTAATTTTTCACGACGTGCATCCCAAATCTACGCTCCCAACCAATATTCTCTTGGGGGTTGTACCCTTATGCGGGGGTTATGACCCATATCATGACCTTCAAAAGGTCGGTATTTCAATGATTGCAGTCCCAATGAATTTTGCATTTTGAGTTCTCATTGGACGGATTATTGTCATGTGAACGAAGTAGGTCCACGTTTTGAAATGAGTCCCATAACGCTTTGTCGGTAATTTTTGTTTTTTTTTTTTAAATGTGTTTGCATCTTCCAGCTGAAGCACGATGTAGGTCCTGGAGTTGAAAGCTAGATGCCAATTTTAGACATGAAAGATCGCTATTCAATATCGTATTGCGCATGAAAAAAAGAGAAAAATATATTGAAAAAAATCTTCAACTTGTTCGCGGATTTTTTTCAGCAAATGTTTAAAGGTCCTTACGAAGTTTTTCAATAGAATGTACCATAATTTTGAAATTAGATTCCATTAAAAACTGTTTCTCGATTTTTCCCGATTCTAGAATTTTAGCAATGAGGTAGTCTCTTTTTTATATTTTAGCGATTTTGAAAAAGGAATTATCTTTTAACTATGCTGTGACCGCGTTAAATTATTTCGACATCATATACTCAGTTTCGCCACCACATGATTCGGTACTACACTTCTGTGTAGCCCGCCTGCAATTGTTTTGTTTATAGCTTATTCTCTTCTGAAATGATTTTAATCGGATAGTTTCACTTACCCAATAAATACATAAAAACTATAACAACCATTTTTGTACGTTGCCGCTTTTAACTCCCCAAAAAGACTACATATCATAATAGAATACAAAAAAAAAACACTACAAATGTACATTCGATAATAGTAAGTCAAAATGAAAAAAAATCATGCAATCAAGGATTGAAATTGACCAAAAACAGAAAATTTTCTTGATTTTGATGTTGCTCTACAGGCTACAATTACAAAAAAGGCATATAGTTAGAGTTTAGGGCTGGGCAGAAGCCTACCAATTTGGAGGTCATCGGACAATTTTTAACAGGTAAAATAAACCATAAAAAAATACGAACATTTCCGCTAAACCGCTAATATTTATTTTTAATCCCGGCTAAATCACAAATACATCAAACAGTCACTACTGAACATTACAGTGATGCTGATAGCTAAGATATCGGTTATATAGCAAATTAGGTACAATATATCTAGATCTTAGTTATTCCCTTATAAGTCAAGAACCGCTGGACTGATTTTCACAATTCTCATAAATTGGTAAGAAAAGGATAAAATCTAAGAAAATGGCGTAAAATATGACAATGAAAAAGTATTTTATTATTTTTTTTTTGTTCCTCTTCAATTTTTGTCATATTTTTTATCGCATGAGATTTTTTTCAATCTGACTTTGAATTTTATAAAATTGTATAAAGTTTTTCTACATCCCGCAACACTATGTATTGAGAGTATTATATATAGGTTGCAATTATTGTCCGATTCTCACGAAATTTTACATGGGGGTAGGGTTAGGGTCAGAATAAAAGCCCATTGTTTTTGAAGATGTGCAACCCCTAAGTGTACATCTTCAAAGACAAACAAATGGACCAAAAAATCTTGATTTTGCAGTTGCTTCACAGGTCGCAATTGAAAACCAATTTACACGAAATTTCGCATGAGAAGAAAGTTAAGGGCCGGGAAGAAGTATAACATTTTGGATGACCATTGGATTATATTTAGCTGTAAAATGGACCACAACTTTCATATGAAATTGTTTTGCAAAATGGTCAGGTTTTATCCCTTTTTTGTTGTTTTTATAAAAACAACACCAATCCTCATCAGTTCTCTTGTTTTTTGTCTGGGATATTCTCCCCAGAAGTTATTTTAAAAATAACTTCTATGACAAAATTCTGTTCTATTTATAATTACCATTTTGGTAGCAGACTTTTAAGGCAACAATCTTAAAATTTAACCGAAACGCTACACTATATAATATATGCAGTCCAATGTTATACAATATACATATATTATATTTATCTTACTCTAATTCTGTGCGTATAAAGCGTTTACTTTCACATAACAAATTGTGTGAAGCGCGTAAAGTCTGTTATAAAAATGCTTAACAGAAATGTAGAAAAAGTAGCTTTACATATAGATCTAACATTATGTGAATCTGGCCTTAATCAAATGTGATCAAATATGTGGAACAAAAATATTTGCAAATTGGCAAAAAATGTATAAGAGCAACGAGAAAAGTTTCTGTGGAATAGGGCCCTGGGTTACATTTATATATATTCCCAACATATTTGAGCAATTTTTTTATCACATCTTTGGTGTTTGGAGTTCTTAATATGTGCCACCTTGTCTAGCGTATAATTGCTTATACAGTTTTACGTTTTCGTTTTTTTTCGAGTTCATTGTCGAATCATCATAAAAAAAAACCGGCATTAATATAGCATGTTTCGAATAAGAGATTCATCATACACCGCTCAACTATAGCACCTCGGCACTGATAGACATATTATGTGTAACATATAACGTGTAACTTTCCAAATGTTATTATTTTAATCTTTATTGAAATGTGATTTCTTTAAAAATTTATTTTTTATGTAAGTTGCAGCTTAAAAATAAAAATATAGAAAAAGTAACGATCGTAAGTCCAAACAAATCCTATCTCCCACCATAAAAAATATATTTAATGCAGAAGACGCTAGCATGGGGTTTCCTCTACCTAAAAAGCTTCTGAAAATTACGCCTTACCTGCCTTTGCTTGCGAGAAAACGAAAATCTAGCAAATAAAAACAAATATTCTAAACTTATCTATTTACCAGTCGTCATAAAAATCATTTATTGTAACTTTCTTTTGCGCTGGTGCATATGATAGTGTGTATATAATGACCCACTCACACAACTATCTATGCTCAGTAAGAGACCACCCTGCGAATGCCCTGCAAATAATGCGACTACTCCACGACCACTCGTGTAAAATGTGGACCATAACAGACCGGGACTAGACCAAAACTAACCCAAATGCATTGATAAAACCTAACCGATTTAACAGTACCATGTCCTAAGGGCGGACAGTGTACTTGAATGAAGGGACTAACATCCATGCAGTGCAGTGCGATTAGGTCAATTAAAGTTAGTTTAACTAGTTCTTAATGAAAATATTAATTAATAAAATTAGATTTGAAACAGCACCCGAACTGACAGTTGGTTTCATTTCTCAAAATCATAACGTGGTTATTGTATATTATACACACTTTATACATGCTTATCTTTCACCCTATTTACGTTTGATTTTATTTTGTTTCAATTTTCAGATGACTGCTGCGATCGAGAGGGTCCATCGTGCCTTGGCTAACATTAAAATAGATCACAAAGAAGCAATTGTTGTGCCATTTAGAATTCCCTAATTTCAGTGTAAATAAAAGATTTTTCGCAAAAATGTTTGTTTCAGTGCAAGGTCAATTTGAAAGGAAGCGAAATCGTGGAAAGTATGGAGAAAGAACTAACTTTTTTAGAAATGTTAAATATTAACGTTTAACATGTTCATATTTTCATAACAGAATTATTTTATTTGAATGAAGATCCTAAAAGCTGGTATTACTGTATTACCTATTCATACATACATCATGGAGGAGGAACGCATAATACTAACATTTGGCGAAATTAAATTAAAGATTTGACTAAAACGTTTTTTAAACCAAATTGAAGTAATCCAAATTTTTTTGTGTATGGTGAAGGCTTTATACAGGTCCCAAAGAAATTTGGGCAAAGTGAAACAAGTTATATATTATAAAGTGCGCATAATACAAATCAAGTTATATGTTAATATGTGCGTCTAAAAGTATGCCACAATTTATGTGAATAAAGTCTGTAGTGAGATTAGGACTAAATTAAAAAAGAGGAAACAGTTTGTAAGTTTGATTGTTTGTAAATTATAGACTCACAAACTGCTGAAAAAATTTTCCTGAAAATTTCCAAATATACTACAGCATAGCCTGAAAGTGATATAGGCTATATAAATTTTTGAAGTTCCACTTAGAACGGGAGATAAAGCATCAGAATCGGGGGTACCTCCAAAAAAAATAGTTTTTTATGCACATATCTATTGATCCATTACAGATATCTTCTTCAAATTTGGAGTGCGTAACGGAATTTGGAAAAATATTTTTTTTAGATTGTATTGAAATAGGTTCAGATTTGGATGTAGCTTCCATTTATATTTTCAAACTTTTTCGTTTATTTGAATCACCAAACACCTTTATGTCCTATTCCATTGAAATTCGGCATGTGTGACGGGATCTGATCAGAAAATATATTTGCCAAATTATATTGAAATCGGATGAGGTTCGGATATAGCTCCCATAAATCTTTTTTGGCTATTTTTCTGCCGATTTTTCACATCTGATGCACCAAACACGATATATGTGTCTGATTCCAATGAAATTCGGAATAGGTGACGGAATTTGTTACAATAATAAATGTGTCAAATAATATTGAAATCCGTTGATATTCGGATATAGCTCCCATATAGCTGATTTCCTGTATTTTGTGCTCGAATATATTTCCGAATCCAACGAAATTCAGAATGTGTGGAGGAATTTGGTATTAAAACTAATTTTCCAAATTATATTGAAATCGGTTGAGGCTTCAATATCATCCCATACATGTTTTCGGCCGATTTCGTATATTTGATGCACCAAATATGCTATGTATCTTCTATTTCGATGAAATATGGAAGGTCTGACTGAATTTGGTCCAAAAATAGATTTTATCAAATTAAATTGAAATCGGTTCAGATATGGATATATTAGGCAAACAGTAAAAAACTACACAAAAATTTAATTGAGGATACGATTATTACGGGGAAGTATTTGCTACCTCGAATTCACTAATTGCAACAGAGATGCCACTCAACCTCAAAATATTTTAGTTTCATGGCTTTTGCTATGAAATAAATAAATCCGAAGGACAAACTCTTCTAAATTTGGTCTGTTCCTGCTTTTTTCATGGCCTGGCATGTTTACACGTTGGTAGACCGAACGATTTGTTTGTTTACCATTAAAGTATTACAATAAAGAAATTTTTTAAACTCTTGAATTTGTTTTATTATTTTTTTAAAACCAAAAAATATTCGTATACATTATTTTGAATATATATAAAATCAAAGGGGTAGCGAAGCGCATCAGGTTCAGCTAGTGAATATATAAACCACAAAAGCTTTCAATATCAGTTGCTAACAGAAGTCGCAACAACAGTCTTCGTGCGGTCTAATAGACTAATAAAAGTTTTTTTTTTTTGAAAGTTAGTTTTGCATTTTTATGCAAGTGGATCTCAGCACGCTTTAGTCAATATGCTTAATCACGCAGTCGAACTACTCGACTTCCGAAGACACATTTCATCGTTTTTCAAGCATTTCACTCGATTATTCCCGTATTTCTAGATGTCATCACATATTATATTTTATTCTGTAATGGGTTTTAACTTTCAAATAGTATGGAGGTTTTGTTAATTTTGTCATGTCAATTTAGCGATGTCTTTCCGTCTGATATGCTTTTACTCAGATATGTTTTAGGTGTGCAGAACTTTGCAGGAATATGCTATATAGGTCCATGTTTTGCTATAGCCCAGATAAAGCTGTAGCGACAGATTTAATTTTTTTTGTAGTTTTGGTCCCAATTTTAACCCGATATTGCTGGCAGCATGTGTTCCCATTTTATAAGAAATTCTTTCATAGAACTGTCAATATAGATCGTAGGTTTGATATAATACCTATATATGTAACTGTACCTCAGGATATTCGGTATTTTTATGAATTATGTCACACTCTTTACAGTTCCTAATGGGTAATACATCCTACGACAGAAAATTGTCCATGCAGGTCCGCGTCTTCGTATAGCCCCCATATAATGATACCTTTCTATATTCAGTATCTTGATCATAAACATTACCATGATTTTCCACTAAAAAACAAACATTGTTTTTATAAAAACAAAAATGATGGGATTAAGCCTAACTATTTTGCAACATAAAAATAACTACGGTAAAAACTACTTTGTACATTCTTTAGAACGTAGTTTAGACTGGGAAAAGCTAGCAATTTGCAAGTAAAAAAGCAGCGAAGGGCAGGCCGAACTTTTAGTACCCTCCAACATTTAAAAGGAACTTAAAAAAAATGCCGTCCAAAAATACTGTTTAAGTGAAAACCGATATATGGGAGCTATACGAAGACGTGGACCTACTTAATTAATTTTATGCCATGGGCTGCAGTACCGATTCCCAACCTCAAATACGAAACTAGATACAATTCCAGTGAATAATGTCGCTAATATCAAAATACCGAATAAATGGAACAAAGTGAGGTACTGGTATATGTGGGTTTTATGAAGACGTGGACCGGCATAGACAATGCCAAAGGAAGTAGTACCCATTAGGAACTTCAAATACTAACTTTGAAACATTTCCCGTAAAGAGTGTAACGCAATTCATCAAAAGACCGAATATTCTAAGGAACAGTTATTTGGGTACAATATCCAAACTTCGACCTATATTGACAGTTCTATGAAAGGATTTTTTACATAATGGAATTTGGACTAAAACTCTCAAAAAAATCTTAAATCTGTCGGATATACCAAAACGATGACCTATATAGCTTATTTCTGCAAAGTTCTGCAGACCTAAAAAATATTTGAGTAAAATTTTATAAACTACTTAGTTTCGTTCGGAAACTAGAGTGATTTCCACAGACGGACAGACATTGCTAAACCGACATGACAAAGTTAACAAACCTTCCATACTATTTGAAAGTTAAAGCCCATTCCAGAAATAATCGAGTGAAATGCTTGAAAAATTATGAAATGTGTCTTCGAATGTCGAGAAGGTCGACTGCGTGAATAAGCATATTGACTATGCATAAGCGTGCTGAGAGCCACTTGTATAAAAAGGCATATATATTCATTAGTCTATGACCTACCTACCTGACCGCAAAAGGCTGTTGTTGCGACATCTGCTATTTTTAAAGTTTTCTTGGTTTTTAAAGTCTTAATTTGAGTACAGACTTCAAACACATAATTTGGGGCATACTTTTAGACGCATTATAATAATCAGTTATATTTTTATTCGTATTATGCGTTTTATACAAGCATACTTGTACATCAGTATAAGATAATGAAGGTTATAACTAGACATCGGGTTTTTACATTTTTTTAGTATTGGAATGATTTTAGAAACCTTATAAATATAAACCGAAGTATCAATAACCAGCATTTCTTAGGAGTTCTCGTTTTACAACCTTACTAATATTTCTAAAAAATTTTCAATACCTGAATATGTGCCTTTGTCTTCTTCTTAGCAAAATCTTCTTCGGTTTCCAAAGTGGTAAAGATTTTTATGATACATTAAGTTTTCGAACTCCTGCAAAGAACATAATTACTTTTCATCGTAAAGACGTTTATGCATTGGGAAAAATAGTATGCGTATGTGTCATGTCAACATTTGCATTTCCACGCAGTTGCATATTTCAAAAATTGTTGCTTATCATTATCATGTATCAAATTATAGTCAAGCTGACGAAATAATCTACTAGAGCTTTCCTTTTGTGCCAAAATCCGGTTCAAGTACCGGACGATTTAAAATGTATAAATAATATAGCTCATATATAAGAAAGTAGTTATCTAATGTTTATAATGGCCCCATGTAAGATACTTCTCTACCCCCAAAGTAGCGTAAACAAACATTTTAAGCCAAATCGATTCGAAAATATAATCAAAACCCTCAAAATAGGTAAAATCTGCAGGTACTTTTATATGGGCGCTACTCCGAAATATTGACATTGAAAAATTTCCGCGAAGAGGTCTTCTACCTCTTTAGAAGCTAAGATGCCAAATAAGGGCAAAATCAATTGAAAGATGTGACCAAAACCCTGAAAATAGCTGAAATCAGCAGATACCTTTATAAAAGCGTAATACCAAAGCATGGTCCTATACTTATAATTATTTTAAAGAATGTGTGTTTCTTTCTAAAATTTCAAATGATCCACATTTGAAGAATTTGAAAGGGGCTTTATCATTTGAGGGGGTGGGGCTATATCACAATGTAGACCGACTTGATACATATTTTGTACAAATGGTTCTTCATGTAACCCCTAGGGCTGCATCAAATTGAAAACTATCGTAACTTTTGCGGAGTATAGAGCAAAGTATTTGAGGGCATTTGTGTATGGCTAAGCTATATAAAATGGACCCTAAAGAAGTTTGACCCGGGAATCCCCCCTTTGGGATTTTTATCTGCGGCGCAGTTATTTCTAAATTGAAATCCTGGCAATATGACTTTAATTTAACTATCATAAATAAAGTTTCATCGGTTTATAAAAGTTAGGGACGCCATAAAGAATTTTAAAAAGTAGGAATCTTT